TTTTTTTAGTAAAAAAACTACACCTTCCCTCTTCTTTCTCCGGGAGTTTTAAGCAAAATTTTAGAGGGTTATTTATAACTTTTGAAAATTTTTAGGTAATTTTCTGTAACTGTTGGGGGGTTATTTTCAATACGAAACCTTTTAGAGTTTTTTTGCAACTTTTAGGGGGTAATTTACAATTCATAAAACTTTTGGGGGTTTCTATAATATTTTGGGTGCCCATTTGCAATTTTCCAATCTTTGTGAGGTTTTCTATATTTTTTTTGAGAGTCATTTGCAATTTCTAAAGCTATTTGTGAGGTTTTCTACAAAATTTCCGGTTATTTACAACATTTGAAAATTTTGGAGGGTTTTCTGGGGGGGTTTATTTGCAATTTTTGTAACGTTTAAGGGGCTAAACTCATTAGTTAGTTGTAAAATTTATGACTTAGTTGTTAAACTTTTGAGTTAGCTGTTAAACTTATTAATTAGTTGTGAAACTTATTCAATGTTAAATTAAACTTATGAGACAGTTGTTAAACTTATTAGTCACATTTGTGAAACTTATTCGATGCTAAACTTATTAATTTAGTTTTTAAACTCATTAGATTAATGAAAGTAAAATCAATTTTTGAAAATTTGAAGATATAATAAGTTTAGCAACTATCTTATAAGTTTAAAACTAAATCATAAGTTTAACATCTAAGTCAAAAGTTTAACACCTAAACCATAAGCATTACTAACTAATAAATTTAGAAACTATCACATAAGCTTAATAACTAATTTATAGGTAACCAACTTATAAGTTTAATAACTACTAGTTTTATGCACGTGCAATGCAAGTGGTTAAATATCATGATTAAGTATTTTTAGTTTATTTCCTTACTAAAATTTATCATCGGTTTCACTTTGATAGTTTTTGCTCACTTACGTCTCTAAACTTTAGCATAGTGATTATTCATTTAGTTTCATGTTTGTCTAAATAGGCTATACCCAATATAAACTATCATGTTGATAATTGAATTGATATGAAACAAATATAATCAAAAGCCAATTTGAATTTTCCTTTTATATAAACCGACATGAAACGAAGCTTGTCTGAGAAAATATAGCATTGCAAAAGTGAAAAATATCTGAAAATAGCTTTATAAGCCAAGATGATTGATTAAAAGTGGACTAAAATGATACAAAAGAAAGTATGAATTTTGTCCCTAATTATTGATAGACTTCATAAAATACCATGAACGAAATATTACTGTTGTTATGGGACATATCTGTTCCACGAATATATGACATGATGAGTCAGCATCTTGACCAGCCCAACAAGCCGACACCCCAGTGTCGGTGTCGGCTGCTCTTACAGTCGACATGAGAGATCCTGACCTCCCAGACGAGTCGACATCTTTATATCGACTCGAGATGGTTGTTATCTGAGACGAGATGACATTCCAACCAGCCGAACATGCTGATACTCTTGAGTCGACGCGAAAGGCGGTGTCGATCGACACGAGAGTCAACAACTCAAAGATATGACCCTATGGGCTTTGTTTATCGACGAAGCTAAAGGATTGCCCTTATCTCAAACCTGTCAGCATAAGCGTCACTTCTCAATATTGTTTAGTCTTTGATGATCATCATTATGTCTCCGTCCTCAACAGTCTTGAAGATTTGTCGGCTGCTGGCTCCCAATACTGCCGAAGTGATCTCCCGCCACCCACAAACCAACACGTGTGGAGCAAATGATGACTTATTTTCCAACTCACTCCTCATCACTGCCTCACTACCGTCTTGCTACACACTCCTGAAGTGTCCAATCTGCCCTCGACATCCCCTATAAATGCAAATGCTATTCGCTATAGCTAGATGTTCGCAATCTAAAACCCTCAAGAGCATGCACTACACAAAAACAAGAACACATAGTTCTATTACTTCACTCAAGCTCAAGTTCATCAACCGACTTGATCGTCAGAGGTACCACGAGGGAACTTATCCCCGCCCTTTTACGACTCTTTGTGTGCAGATTGCTCAATCATCCCAAGTCCAAAATCAGGCATAAAGTCGAAGAAGAAAGCGACCCCTTGCAAACTACGTGACTTTATTTGGCTTTATGATATTTAACATCAATAGTTTGGCACCCACCGTGGGGCCTCTTTTCTTTTTTTGAGAAAAAATGCCAGCTCTAATATAGGATTTGAGCAGTCTCAACCTCGAAGACAGTCACCTAACTATGTTACTTAGGATCAATTAGAACAAGCGGTGAACCAACTCTCCCTATCACTTAAAGAGTAATTTGCCGTCTTGACCAACGAGGTTCTGTGGCGAATCCCACCACCGCCACATGCTGCTGTACCACCTCCACCCTCTAGAGACCAACGATCAGGAGCACCTCCTTCCCAGCAACGAGATGTCTCACTACAAACTCCTCATAATCCCCCTAAGCAGACGGAGAGTCGTCTCAGGCTTAAAGACGCCTCATGATGAAAGTTCCGGTCCCTGTCCTTATCCAAAAAAACCATGATGAAAGTTCCGGTCCCAGTCCTTCAGAAGGGCGTGCCAGAGGAACAGGCTTAAAGACACCCCACCATCGCGCTTCCCCATCCTCATCTACCACTTCAAGAGCTTCCGCCTACGATCGAGTATACATGCCGGTCGCTGATACAATTGGAGGGAATACCCCACTCTCGGACGAGATAATGGAATGCTCATTTGAGAAGTTCAAAATGCCCCACTTAGGGACATACTCGGGTGAAGGAGATCCTTCTGAGCATGTTTAAAATTATTTCAACATAATGAGTATGCTCTAAGTTTCTGAAGCAATCCTTTGTCGGTGCTTCCCTATCACCCTCACAGGAAGTGCTAAACTTTGGTGGAACGCTTTGGATAGAAGGTCCATCAGTAATTTTTGACAGCTAAGTTGAAAATTCATCCACCACTTTCTAGCTGACACCAAGCAGAAGCTCCCCCCTCATGTGCTGATCCAAATGAGGCAGGGACCAGAAGAGAGCCTCTGGGCCTACTTCAAGATATTCCAAGCTAAGAGGTTAGAAGTCAACAACCCGGGAAGCATAGTCGCCATGATGGCACTCGTTACCGGCCTGCAGAACAATGAATTGGCCGACTCTCTCGCTAAGAAACCAGTCGCCAATTATGAACAATTGATGACTAAAGCCCATGGATACATGGACATGGAGGATGCCTGGGCTTACAAGGCCTTAGAAAGGAACGCATGGGTTCCTATTGCCACGACTTCAACAACGCCAACAACCATGGCCGTTCCATCAGACCCTCCAACAGCGCCATCAATAATTCTATCACCTGAACCGACCAGAAGTCCTCCAAGGTTAGGATGGCAAAAGAATCCTCCAAAGGCCAACTTCACGTCCTAATCACTCGGATAGGAAAATCAGCAGAGAAATCCGGCACCAAAGGAATCTCTAACCATCTTAGACACCTCGCTTACTAATGCATTGTCTATGGTCCAGAGGAAAGGATATCTCAAAGATCCTACACCAAAGATGTTATCAGATCCTAGAAGCAGGGACACTAAGAAATTTTGTCGTTACCATCGGGATCACGGACACCTCACTAATGATTGCCGAATCCTCAAGAGGGATATAGAGGATCTGATTGAGAGAGGATATTTAAGAAATCTCACTTTCCGGAGAGATTACAGGGATACTGCCCTAAACAAAAATGATAGGAGATCCCGCTTGCGGCGCCTCGGCCTCGACCTCAAATAGACGAACAACCCTAAGAGACTACTCACAAAGGATTTATCAATGTAATAAGCGGTGGTCCTACAGTTAGGGGGTCATCCAACAATGAGCGGAAGAGATATGCTAGAAGAACGCTACAAGTCGGCCATGATCCCAAGAAAATGAGGATAGAAGAGCTCATATCTTTTACTGATGATGACCTACAGGGTGTTGAGATGCCCCATGATGATCCTCTTGTTATCACCACAGTTATTAATGGATATCAGGTGAAACGAATTATGGTCGACACCGGAAGTTCAGTGGGCGTCTTATATACTAGCGCCTTCAATCAGATGGGAATTGACAAATCCCACCTCCTCCCATGCAGAGGACCACTTGTGGGTTTCACTAGCCATGCCCTCATACCAGAGGGAATGATAACTTTACCATTTATATTAGGAGAATATCCTAGGCAAATCACTATCCAAATCCAATTTCTGGTAATGGATTTGAAGTCAGCCCATAATGTTATATTGGGTCGAATCGCTCTCCACCTCTTGCAAGCCATCCCCTCAACTTACCATCAGATTATCAAATTTCTGACCCCAAATGGAGTCGGAGTAGCCCGGAGCAATCAAAGAGAAGTTAGATCTTGCTATCTACTCTCGATCAAGGGGAAGGGTGTCCAAGACACTATGTCGATTGAAAAAACTTATCTCCAACTGGAGAAGACAATAGAAGGACCAAGGACGGAGCCAGTAGAAGAGCTCCATGAAGTCCCTATTGATCAAGAAGGAATGAAGACAATCAAGATTGGGTCCGGATTAGTTGAGCCCTTAAGAGGGGCTATGGTGGAATTTCTAAAAGCAAATACTGATGTATTTGCTTGGAGACCAGACGACATGCTAGGGGTTCCCCCCGAGATAATGTGTCATGAACTGGCCGTGAACAAACATGTCAAACCAGTTCGACAGAAGAAGAGGCATCTCGGCCCAGAGTGCCAGAAGGCGGCGGTGGACGAGGTAAATAGGCTTTTGAAAGCTGACTTTATCTGAGAGGTCCAATACCCAGAGTGGTTAGCCAATGTAGTCTTGGTGAAAAAAAGCACTAAACAAATGGAGGATGTGTGTAGATTTTACCGACCTTAACAAAGATTGTCCTAAAGATAGTTATCCCCTGCCTTCAATCAACTAGCTAGTTGTCGAGAACGCGGGACATGAAATGCTTAGTTTCATGGACGCTTTCTCTGGCTACAATCAAATTTTCATGGCTAAACATGATCAAGAGAAGACTTCTTTTATCACCAATGTGGGTACGTACTGCTACAAAATGATGCCCTTTGGACTGAAGAATGCTGGAGCCACCTACCAAAGACTCGTAGCTAAGGTCTTCCAACATCAGATCAGTCGTAATCTTGAAGCTTATGTGGATGATCTATTGGTGAAATCCAAATAAGCGTCTACCCATATTTCAGATTTGGACGAGACCTTTTCAACCCTAAGGCGACATAGAATGAAGCTCAACCCAGCTAAATGTGCCTTTGGAGTACAATCAGGGAAATTTCTTAGATTCATGATTACCCAAAGGGGTATTAAGGTCAACCCTGAAAAGATTAATGTAATAGAGTGACTCACAGAGCCGCATACTTTGAGAGAGATTCAGAGGTTGAATGGGAGGGTCGCAGCTCTAGATCGATTTTTGTCCAAGTCCACCGAGAGAAGCCTCCCTTTCTTTAAAATATTAAGAGTAAGCAAAATCTCAAAGGAGGGTATAGTCTGGACGACTGGATGCAAATCAGTATTTCAAGATCTCAAAGCTTACTTAAGTGCAAAGACATTGTTGAGTTAACCTATGAGAGGGGAGACTTTGTTTGTATACCTAGCCGTCTCCTCTGAAGCAATTGGTTCTGTCCTTATTCGGGAGGAAGAAAATACGCAAAAGCCCATCTATTATGTGAGCCGAATCCTCCGAGCAAGCGAACTCAATTATTCTTTTATAGATAAAGCTGCCTTTACCCTCATCCATATGGCTAGAAGACTCCGTCCTTATTTCTAGGCTCACCCCATTATTGTCAGAACAAGCCTACCCTTAAAGAAAGCTTTGGGAAGTCCTACCACATCAGGAAGAATGGTTTCCTGGGCGGTTGAGCTTAGCGAGCATGATGTCCAATTTGAACCGTGGATAGCTATTAAAGCTCAAGCTTTGGCCGACTTCTTGATCGAATCAACTCCCTAAAATGATGAACTAGAAGTACTTGCGCCACCTCCTCAACCTTCATCCCCAGAACGCCAGGCGATCCCTCTAACTTGTCATGCTCTAGAATACGATTCACCCGAATATGACTCATGGTGGCTACTACAAATAGATGGATCCTCTAGAGAGGCGGGCAGTGTAGCAGGAGTGGTCATACGAAGTCCCGATGGGTTGATATATGAGCATTCCATTTCCTTTAAATTCTTGACCTCGAACAACGAAGCCGAGTATGAAGCTCTACTCACCAGCCTCCAAGTGGCACGAGCTTTGAAAGCCGAATGCCTTTACATTCTAGCCGACTCCTAATTAATTGTCAATCAAATCAACAGACACTATGCTGCTAAAGACCCAAGGATGGCCATATATCTTTGAGTCGCCAAAGAACTTCTAACATCCTTATTGGAATCCAAGATAGTTCAAGTTCCCTGAGCCCTTAATGCTCGAACAGATGCCCTCTCCAAAATGGGATCAACGAATTTGGGAATTTGCTCTAGACCTGTCTATACGGACACACTGGAGCACCCCGGTATCTTGAAGACATTAAAGATCCTTATGGAGACACAAGAACCTATATCACCTTGTTGGCTAGATCCCATTATCCTTTATCTAACACAAGATGTTTTGCCTGAAGATCGAGTTGAAGCCAAGCGTCTGTTAAGGAATTCTCGCCGCTACCTTATCATTGAGAACCAACTTTATCGAATGTCCTATGTTGGCAGCAGTATAGGACCCTACTTGCGATGTCTGCGACCACCGGAAGCTCTCTATGTGCTTAGAGAGATCCATGAATGTATATGCAGGAATCATACACGGGCTCGAACCCTAGCACAAAAAATCATTCGCCAGGGTTATTATTAGCCGACTATCCTAGCCGAGTCAATGAAGCTAGTATCTCATTGTCAAAGGTGTCAATTCTTTTCATCCATTCCTCAACCCGCCGCAACTAAGTTGACTCCTATTTTGAGCCCTATACCTTTTGCCTAATGGGGCTTAGATTTGTTAGGACCTCTTCCTATGGCTTCAGGACAGAGAAAATTCTTTATAGTGGCAATTGATTACTTCACCAAATGGATCGAGGCCGAACCACTGGCTAAGATCAGTGAGAGCAATATCACAAACTTCGTATAAAAATCCATTATTTGTCGTTTCGGTGTGCCTCAGTCATTCATTACCGATAATGGCATCCAATTCAATAGTAGGGGTTTCCGAGATTTTTATGAAGAATACAACATTCACCTCAAGTTCGCTTCAGTTGCTCACCCAAAATCAAATGGACTCGCAGAAGCTGCCAACAAATGCATTCTTCAAGCATTAAAGAAGAAGGTGGATACCGTCCTAGGATGATAGGTGGAGGAGTTACCGAGTATCCTATGGTCATGCCGCACAACCCATAAGAATTCAACAGGGGAAACTTCCTTTAAGTTGACATATGAGGCTGAGGCAATTACTCCGGTCGAAGTGGGTATGCCGACCATTCGGCTACGACACTTTGATGAAGGCGTGAACTTGGTAGGACTTCGAGTCAACCTCGACCTCTTAGAAGAAACCAGAGAGAAAGCACTCAAAACATATGTCATCAACCAACAACGAATCGCGCGCCACTACAATAGCAAAATTCCTCTAAGAAGATTCAACGCTGAAGACCTAGTCCTTCGTAAAGCAATCTTTGACAAAGACACCAGACGAGGCAAACTAGCTCCTAACTGGGAAGGCCCCTGTTTTCGTGAAAAGTTGTCTTTTTCATTGCTGTAGAACCTGTTACACCATTTATCGATTACAAGTTTGAGTTAATCTTTTTATAAGATCTTCTTATAATGAGAAAAGTAAAGATTATAACTTTATGAAACAAAACGTAGCAGTAGTTTATCTCCTGTTGCTTTGTGTGGGATCTTTGCTTGTCCCAGGGACGAGTTAGTCCGTGCACCACTACGGATCAGATCCGGTTGACAAGTGTAATTATGCTCTTGCTTCATGAAGAAAACAATCGCAGTAACGACAATCACGACAATCACGACCAAACGAGATTGTGGCTCTTCTCGAGATCAAAACAAGGTTTGATCCGGAGGAAGGAGGGGGAGAAAATCTCAAATCTTTCAAAGGCTTTTTCTTTATGAAAAAGCTTGCCAAGATCTACCAATTCTCCTTTGAAATTCGTGGTTTACTATTCAATTAGACAACACCCCGCCCTCAGATTTTAGATCCTCTCAACTGAAGACCCTAAGCTTCTATTTATAGGCTTTTGTCACCGTGTTTTCTGATAAGATCAAGTGTTTTGATGTCATCTGCAGTTGATAACCGCCTAGGCGCCCTTAAGGATAGCTTCAGAACAGTTAGGGAGGTCCTGAGACGAAAGAATTCTAATAAAATATCGAAATCCGTGTTTTGGGAATTTGGGAGGCCCAAATAATCATGGTGACTCGGAGGTACGCGAGTCACCATTTGGTGACTCGGAGCTGTGCAAGTCTTCTGGCCAGTTGTTATATCTTTTTGACTCTTTTGGCTGTTTGCATTTCCTTCGGTTCACTTGCTTTCCCCTTTACACGTGTTTTGTTAATTTGTTGACTTGCGCGCTTTTACCGATTCCCTTCATGTGTTTCATCGTCGTCAGATAAACTTCTTTGACTCGGATGATGTCGTTCATCATGTTCTCTTTGTTTTGAGCTATGTGTGGGAACCCATAGGCAATTTTTGACGCTTACAGATACCCCCCTCCAAAGTGTTTCAGTCTCGTTTTTTTATAGAAGAGCCTGGAATACTTTTAACATGATAGACCCAACCTTCAATCAGTATGACAAGACCTGTAATTGGTTTCCGCTCTTAGCTTCTTCAGTCTTTAATCTACTTAGTATTTTATCGAATAGATAAAGTTCTTTCGGTACTGCGTTTATCGTCTGAGCGCTGTTGAAGTCTTGAACTGAGACTGGTGTGTAAGTTTCTGAACTTAGCTCGTGCCATCGAGTTGACTTTGAACTGATCATCTTCGTCAGAATTCATATCCGTAGTTTTGTTTTGGCGAAGTCATCGGTGCGTTGACCTGTGTTAACACAGTTTATACTCGTACGTTAACTGGAGTCTACAAAGTTTAAACTCTTAAGACGTTGGAGTTAGGAGGACCAGTTTATACTCGTATACTCATGGGAGTTTTGCTGGGTTATCCTTAAGAATATTCTGAATGATATTCTTCAGAAACTTTCCGGTAAAGGTAGGAAATAATTTAGACTCATATACCCATTGGAGTAGGAATACGGGTCCCGTATATGTTGAAAATACTCGAAAATAGGTTAGAATACCCGTAAATTGGCCAAACAATTTATCACACATGCGAGCCAGTAAATGGTGTCTCGCATGTGTGTGAGTCACCATTTGGTGACTCGCATGGGTGAGTTACTATTTGGTGACTCGCATGTGTACGAGTCACCATTTGGTGACTCGCATGTGTGCGAGCCAGCACAAAAGTTCTTGAGTTGATTCAAGACTTGGTTCGGTTTGACTTGGCTTGGTTCGGGTCGGTTCGAACTAAGTTTGGTTCAGTTGAGGGCTCTTTTCACTTCTTCTTCCTTCTCTTCTTTGTCGTTTCAAATTTCTTCCGAGCCATTTCCTCGAGAACGGTTCTCTCCTTCTTTCTTTTTTCAAGAAGCCTTCTCTCCTTTTCTCTTTGCTTCTTCAAAACTCGTGGTCGTCAGTTTTAATCAGCTTTTGAGGGCTAGGGTTTCGGCTTTTGATCTCCAGTTCTTAAGGCCAGTGACAGGATTTGTGCTACGGAGCCCATCCTATCCTTGCGTTTTAGGTATATCTCCTCTGC